CCCCAAAACCCCAAAACCCCTGAGCTTCAAGATATAAATTTGAAAGGATTATTTTGCCAATTTTAATCTTTAATATCGTATTTAAGTTAAAACATAGAATTCATTAAAAAACAATAACCTCATCAGTCAATGTTTAGATTTGATTAATCCAATGAATTTCCAACTTATTCCGCATCTTTTAATTTTTCATCATTTTTCAACGCACTTAATTTGTTTTTTTCTTTATAATTTTACCAGCATTTCATGCATTTAGCAACAAAATTTAAGTATATTCTGTATCTTTGTGGTAAATTCCAGTGATATTTTTTTCTCAGATATAAAATCATCAGAATAGAAACAACAAGAATTAAAATCGCCAAGAGAGTAATAATGACTTTGTAGAGGTCTTGCGTCAATTAGATATCTTAATATTTATAAATTGTTGTTGAGTTATTCACATAGGTGGTTTGAATGTAATATTTTTTTGTTAATTCTTATTGACGAATAGGGCTAACTGGAATAGTATATGAGCATATTGATCCGTCAGCTATGCCTCTCTACAGTGAAACATTTTTGGGAATGTTAAAAATTGGAAAGGAACTTATCTCTATAGTTATATTAGTCAATGGAATAATTGTGTCAAAACCTTTGGGGTAAACTACCAGTTATCGTTTAATTGGATTATTTTAGCATGAAACTTGGGTTTATATATCCCCAAAGAACAAGTAGCATTAGCCTTGCCAACTAGCTAGTGATTATTCTCCTTCATATTAAAAAGTTAGGGTAAGCACTGCTGACTTATCGCATAAAGTACTTGGAAAGTAAATAACTTTCAAATCAGCTAATTGATAATCAATAGCCAAGTCTTCTCTAACACTGTATTTAAAGGAAATATTTTTATCAACAGGAATCTGAAACTTGAGGTTCTTACAAAAGGTTAACTTCTGAGAACCCAAAAATATATGATGTAAGAAATCTCTGTTTCGGGTAAATAACTAGTTGGATTCTGCGATTTTCAACATTTAAAATTATAGGAAGCACTCTCATTTGATGTTTCATCATTATCAAGTATCCATTCAATAATTTTAAGATCTCTGTTATTTTTAACAAGCTTTGTATTCAGGATCCCTTTGGAATAAAGACTGCATTCAATTTCCTAATCTTAGAATGTTAGGAAAGTATCGGCATAGTGAAATTACAGACTCTCGCCCCTTTTGTATGTCTGATTAGCCTCAAACGAGATCTCTACAAATGATTCCTGACCAAGTTTATAGTTTCCAAGTGTAAATATATTTTGATCATAGTTGGAGCTGCAGCCTAGAATAATAGCATTGAAAATTAGAGTGAGTTTGATCATGAACATCTAATTTTTGAAGTAAGAATTTATAATTATTAGTCAAGTGTTTTCTTGAATATAAATATCATTAATCATAAATAATCACTTAAAGATACTTTTTGAAATTAACAATTAAAATTAATCTATGGCAATAAGAGTAAAGTATTGATACTTTTAATTCGGTCTAACTATCTAAGTTGTTTTAATTTATAAAATTTAATCTCTATTTTTTTCATTTTTTATAAATCATGGGGTTTTGGGGTTTTGGGG